GGCCAAGATTTTGGGGATGTCACAATCATTGGTGTGGTGATACTGATTTAAAAGATATTTATTCTAATCTTTATGCAATTGATAAAAAGAATGATTGTTTTTTGGAAGAAAGAGTCAATATTATGCATGGACAAATTTCATTTTTTTTTCTTGGTATCGAGTTAGGCAGCCTAGAGGTGGAAGGGAAAGACATCAACTTCTGAAAATTTCGGATCAGATTGTTGTTTTTAGGTTTCATGCTGGATATGATAGGTGGATTTGGTAGGTAATAGTGGAGGTGTGTTTTCGGTAAAAGCTTTAAGAGATATGATGGCAAAATTGTAACAACCGAAACATGGAGGTACTCAATTTCCTGAATTTCTAACCTTTTGGAAGAGGGTCACGATGTGAGATATGGTGATCACGTCGTGAGTGACCGCTGACTTGTTGACCTACATTTTCGAGTCTCACAATGTGAGGTATGAATCCACACGACGTGAGAACGACCTGATGAACCAAAACCCTAATTTCCAAGTATTTAATGGAATGATAGGCCTAGGGTTGCCCACCGTCAACCTTCCTCACTCTCTAGCCTCCTGAAAACCCTAATCTTGACTTTTTTGAGGTCTTAACCATTTTGGTGACCTTGAAGAACTTCTTTGGTGGTCTTTGGCTCATTAAAGTGGAAGAAGACTTTTGTGGAGCATTCTTTTGGCAATCCAACTTCTATCTCACATTCTTGTTGAGCTTTTGGAACTTTGTAAGTCATAAAGCTCGGGCCTTTTTAGCTCTTGCTTGCTAGATCTAGGTTTTAAGCTCCTTTTGCATGGTTGAATTGGATAGCATGCATGGGATCCATAAAGTTGGCAACTTTATGGATCATTGAGACAACTTCTATATTATAAACTTTGGATCTGAGTTTTAGAGTTGGTTTTAGACTCCAAGCATGAGTCTTGATCTCATTTTCCCTTTTTTGACCTAGTGGGTGTTTAAGTCATGCATTGGACATGCATGACTAAAAAGCTACGATTTTTATTATCCTTTGAGTGAGTGAAGACCCTCTAGAAAGTCCCAAGAAGTGGCTTAAAGGAAAAAAGAGCTTAATGTTCATAGTTGGCCAAGGCAACACTCACGACGTGAGGATGAGCCTGCCACGTCGTGAGAATGCATGCCATCCGCGACTATTTTGTATGGTTTAGGTCACGATGTGATGATGGTTGGAATCGAGACTAGGCGAGTTGATTGGATGAGTTGACCCGTTAAGTTGGGATCGAGTCGAGTTTATACTTACGACATGACCATGAGTTGGTCACGATGTGAGGGTCAGTTGTTGAAGCTTGGACTGTTGACTTTAGGCCATTTTGGAACTTTTGGGCCTATAATGGGCCTTAAGATTCTCTATTTGGGCCATTAGTGGGCCTAGTTTGGGCTTAGGTCATTGTTGGGCCTTCTAAATTATGGGCTTAACCTCAGTTAGTAACTAGGGTTGGTATTAATTGTGTTCAGTGTAAGGAGTTGTTGTGCAACAGACTCGGATGTGAGATTTGTTATCTTCTGATTGAGGTGAGTCTTTTCACAGTACTTGTGGGTCGAAGGCACCAATATCGGTCCATTGGATCATGTTATAGAATACTAGTTGTCTTTGTGACTCTTGTATGTATTATATGTGTTTGTATGTATATCGGGTGGGGCCTAATGGTGGGAGGGGCCCATTGTTCTGGGTAGGGCCCAATGGTGGGCGGGGCCCATTATATATATAGTATGTGGTATTTTGGGGAACTCATTAAGCTTTGAGCTTACGATTTTTAGTTTATGTTTTAGGAACTTCAGGTTCGAAGGGGGAAAGCTCGAGATGATTGCATCACACACACTATGATTCTTCCTCCTTATCGACTCTTATGTATTTTGGATGATTATTGATACACTATGACTATCTTATGGGTTTGATTATCACGTTTGGTTGATGTTTATTTAATATAAAAGCAAAAAATTTGGTTATGGGTTTTTGAGACGTTACAAAAACAGTCCAATAACATGAATTTGGAATCTTTCAATTGGGTAAAATGGGCTCCTCTAAAAATCAATTGTTTTGTTTGGAGATTAATCAAAAAACAGAATTCCTACTTTCTTGAACTTAATTATGTGTGGGATTAATGTCTCCTCTACCTTATGTCCTTTTTGCAAAGATACCGATAAAAGCATTGATCACATCTTTTTTTCTAGTTCTTTTGATATGGTTATGTGGAGATAGTTGTTGAATTAGCCAACCCTTCTTTTGATATGGTTATGGATATGCTCAAATATGTTGCGGGGAGTAAAAAGATCAAGAAGCTACGATTTTTCTCTTGTCTACACTAATCTCTTGATGATATGGAAGACCAGGAATGCGATTATTTTCATAAATGAAAGACGGACGATGATAATTACAACTAATGATATTAGTTAAATTAGTTTTAATTGGATCAAACATAAGTATAATTATAATTCTATTGTTTGGCATTATTGGAACTCCTTCTCTACCTGAGACTGTTTCTTGTAACTTGGCTTGAGCTACTGGCTTATGTTGTAGTTGTTTGTTTGCTTTTGTGTTTTAATGAGATGCCCGCCATTTATATATATATATATATATATATATATATATATATATATATATATATATATATATATATATATATATATATATATATATATATTAGCCGTTACCCGCGCACAGCGGCGGGGACAAATAGCTTCTTTCAATGATATTTTTTAAAGAAAAATGTTATGTTCCAAAAGAAAGTTCATGTCGTGGGTAAGAGGAAGGGCGGTAGTCGTGATAGTGGTTGGTTGAAGGCGGAAGGAGGCAGAGCGGCTGTGGTGGTGGTGGTTATATTGTCTTGGTTACTGGTTAGGGTTCTTCGAGAGAGTGTGCGTATATTTCTTACTTTGAAGGGATTACGAAGATAGATATTATGAGATGGCTTGTTACCAATGTGAGAGAAGAGATTTTCTATAAATTGTTGACATTGACCGCTTCAAATGGCTGAAGTGTTGAGATTGACGGGTTTAATTTGCAAATGAATTCTTCTATTAATTTGATACGAGATTTTTAGGGGATAAATGATAAGGTTAAAATTTTAATATTATTATATTATAAATGGGTTGTACTTCAAGTTTAATAGTTTGGACGTCTTAAAAAAATAATATTATTATATTCAATCTATTTATAGAAATAGTTAGATTTCTTTTATAAGTAGTAAAGATATATATATATATATATATATATATATATATATATATATATATATATATATATATATGGGAAAAGTGAATATACCCTCAAGGGTATATAAGCTTAGGTACCCAAACTCACTATGCTACGTCGTTTTGTATCATATAATACGTTCTAATTATCCAATGTTCTTATAATTTAATTTCTAACTTGATTTACATCCAAAATTTTTATAATTTACACATTTATCTTCTTCTTACATAATTTCCATTTTCAACTACAATATATATAGCCTAATCGGTATTCGACAAAAAGATGTGATGTAAGATAATGATAATAGTGAAATGTCGAATATCTTGAAAGAAAATCAAGTTAGGGTTGTAGTTTAACAATATTATAATGAATATATCAAACAAAACGACGTATTATGGTGGGTTTGGGTACCTAAGCTTATATACCCTTAAGGGTATATTCACTTTTCCCTATATATATATATATATATATATATATATATATATATATATATATATATATATATATATATATATATATATATATATATATATATATATATATATATATATATATATATATATATATATATATATATAACATTTACATGATTTTTAAAGGCAACTGAATAAATTGTATAATAAGATGTTGTTTTTACTGACTGAAATATCTTACATTGAAAGTTTTATTTTTATTTTAAAATAAAAGTTTTAACTTTTAACATCGTAGTTTTGAATGAGTTTTCTTAATTTAGATTTTTTTTTAAAACTGCGAGCTTAAACTCATAAAAGCTCGTGTCCTAATAAAATTTTCATTGTTACTAATAAATAAATTTATATGTTTGAACTTTGAAATACAAATTTACCTGATGTGAAAAATTGTTTTAACTTTGAAAAAAAAAATGAAAATATATAATAACACTTGAATGAAGCCAATATATTAATTTTAAATACAATAAAATTGGAGAGTGTGTCCTGTTATTTTTTTGGATAAATAATTAATTTTTTTTGTTGGACATTATAAGTACTTATAATAAATATATTAATCGTGGAACTAAAAATCAGCATGTTGCTAGGTCAAACTAGGCTCGTGAAAAATATTTAAATGGATAAAACGTTTGCATTAAATTTCAAAATTAAAATCTTCACATAAATCATGTCGATCAAGAGACTTTGAACAATTGAAATTGGACAGGAAAAAAAGATGAAAAACATATAGTAATTTATATAACTTAAAACCCGTTTCTCCTCAAAAACATATAATCAAGAAAGAAAACTAAAATATAGAATAGTTATTGGTTTTAAACTCGTAACAAATTAATCGTATACAACAAAAGTGTAACCAGATAAAATGTGAAACGTTGCACCCAATTTCATACGAATCCAAATTAATAATTAATGAAGATGCAAGAAAAATACAAAGAGAAGTCATGGTTGGTTTCTAACAATTGTTTGGACGTGCATGAATTACTAGACGTGAGTACAAAAAGAATTCACATGCAAACATTGGTAGTGATTCTTGAAACTTCTTTGAGAAAATATTATCTAATTCTATAGTTACCAATTAAATTAAAATAATATTAATGTAATTAACGGCTAATTATATTTATTAAATAAAACTATGAAAAATAAATTATTAGATAGAGTAGAATATAAACCAATACCTTCTCCAAGACTTCAAGTAGAGAATCCATGGTAGAAGGGCAAATATGTAATTTAACATCAACCCAATAGACTATTTAAACCTCCTTTCACAGTTTCACTGCATCAAAACGTCCAAATTATTTTCATTAAAGAAAATGAAATTCCAAATTCGCTCCACCATTTTCTTCTTCTTCCTGTCAACCACCTTACTGACTCTAACCACCGCCGGCAACTCTTTCCCACCAACATCCAACGACACCGATTTCATCCGTACAAGCTGCAGAACCACTTTATACCCGCAAATATGTTACACCTCTCTCTCCGGCTACTCTAGCGCCGTCCAACAAGACCCCGGCCGCCTTGCTAGGGTGGCAATCGGCGTCACTCTCTCAAAAGCCACTCATATGGCTAGATACGTCTCCAACATATCCCGGAAAGCCGACTACGCCGGCATTCCAAGAGTCGCCGCTGCCGTACACGATTGTTTCTCGGTGTTCGGAGACGCGGTGGACGAAATTCGCGGGTCGCTCCGACAAATGAGGCGGCTGAATGGGAGTGGGGAGTCGCTGCGGTTCCAGCTGAGCAACGTGCAGACGTGGATGAGTGCGGCTTTGACGAATGAGGAAACTTGTACGGACGGGTTTGAGGACGTGCCGGACGGCGGACTGAAGGCGGACGTCTGTGGCCGGGCGGTGAAGGTGAAGGAGGTAACGAGTAACGCCTTGGCGTTAGTTAACGGTTTTGCGAATACAATACAAGCTCCATGAATCTTGGTTGATTACAAACGGTTGTTTGACGGATACCGTTAAAACTTTTTATGTCACTTGTGTGAAACAGAGGTTTGTATTTTGACGGTAAAAGTCAAAATGTAATTAATTAAATTATGTTTTAACAATTTTTGGTATGTATTTTTCTAGTTAAAATTTACATTAGTTTTATATTTTAATGAATTATTTAGATTTAAGATGTTATGATAAATAGATAACAAAATAGTAATTTTATACAAATGATGTTTTTTTTTGTCTCGTTGATTTCATAAAAACCAATTTTTTTTACGTTTTTTAAGTTTAAACCATTTTTTTGCTAGTTAAACCAACAACCTTTGAAGAGTGGGCTTATACAGGAGAAGAGAGATCTTCTCTCTTTCATGTGCTTTAGGAAGGGAGTGACTTTCGGGATCATTTAAAGATAATGAAAAACGATATATTTGCTTGAGTTTCTTGAATGATCAAAGGTTCTAAAAACGTTTTTTTTTTTTTTTTTTTTTTTTTTCCTAGCGTGGTATTGTTGTCTAGCTATATGAAAGTAATGGCCATTGATGATCGGTTTCACATGTTTAGTCATAGTTATGCTCAATTGCTATCTTTACTTACCATCAAACTTGAGTCTATCTTTACTTGTGGCATCAATTTAGTGTAAAGTTAGATCCATCAATTAGTTGTCTATCTTTACTTGCACCATCTTAGTTATGTTCAATTGCTATCTTTCCTTGTACCGGTAGAATTCAATGAACATTGGTGATGGTGAGAGGTAACAACCTCTTGTCCTTGCGACTTCTTGGCATTAGAAGGGCATCATCTCGTTCCCAAAAATAATCCTCAAAATGAGCAAGGTGTTTTTTCGAAATATAATCCTTGATGGTGAGAGTTACCACCTCTTGTCCTTATGGCTTCCACGCAACGAACTCTTGGCTAATCTGGTAATCAAAATCTTCTATGTGCTTGTCTTGGTAAAACAATACTTGAGACTTGTGATCGGAAAAGACATGAGAGCACTTACCATTCTTTCCTCTCACGAGTGGCATATCGTTCACCACAGTTTTCATCATCGACATTTGGTCTAAATTGTCCTTATTACCTCTTCCAATAACTCTCTTAGCACCCCCTTCATCTACTTCAGCGTCTTCACGTAGGCCTTCAAAATGATTGATAGATGAGACATTTAGCAACTTGCATAGCATTTCCGAGGGCATTGATTCTTACTAACTAGAAAAGAGTTCGATAATAAAGTGTATACACTATAAATGAGCCAAATAATCTCTCAATTGCTAGGTACCTATGTACTTAAAGTCATATCTTGATCAAGACATAAGTGGAGTTAGGAATTAGGAGTTAGCTCAGAAGTAAATTAGATTTGTTAGTTCAAACAAAAATTCAAGTGGCATATTTTATATTAGATTTGAATTATAGTGTTGTTCTTCCTCTTTGAGGCTACGAGTTCAAGTCTTGTAAGGGACATATGTGAAATTAAGAGTTAGCTTAAGAGTAGATTAAATTTTCCAGGTAAAAAAACACATGTACCTAATGTCAATGAAGAATAGGCCTTAAGTAGATTACACTATTAAGAGCTTTTCACATGGACAATGTTGTAATTAGTTGTTGGTGATTTTATTATCATCGGTCTTTTATATAATTGGAAGTAACACGTGTGTCAAATGAGAATTTAAACTATGATATAATACAAATTAAGTGGTACATACTACACACTTGTATATAAGGTGGGGGTCAATGAGGCTGCATCCTTGTTGGGTCATTGAGAAGCACCATTTTCGTGGTTCAAGGGTTGTATCCCCTCCCAACAATCTCAAGTTGTCCGTGACAACTCCAACCTAACCTGCTTGTGAAAATTAAATATTCTATATACTCAATAATAGTAATTTTTATTTTGGTGTCTATAACTTTGAGTGTTCCTCACATATTATTCTAAGTTGGATTTCTTTGTGATCGAGACATTATATGCATGAGACCTTATGAGATCCGATATTCAAATTTGTTTAAGTTCTTCTTTTTGGAAAAAAAAAAACCTTATATATCTTCTAGCTTCAAATCGACACACACTTGAGCTCTCAAAAGTCAGTTATGATGAAAAGGAGGGAAAGACTCATGTTCTAAACTTTGGTCATTTGTTAGATTTGGCCCATTCTTTACTTATTTTCCTATTTTGACCGCTAAAAGGTTCCGACGCCTGGTTTACTTCTATATTCTACTAAGTTAACCTGATTTACTTAATTCATTGACATTTCGGACCCCCGCAAACTTAGTCGTGTCAAAGTTCTCCTCTCGTCGGGTTGAGGAGTGGGGGTTTCACAGCAGGGCATGCCGCTTTGAAAATCGTTGCGTGCAAAGTGGCAAAACACGAGAATGCATATATAGAAAATCAATATGTGTTTGTACATTTTGTTTTTAATATATTTGGTTTTCTCGCACCAGAGACGGTAGAGCTCCTCAACAGAGTCCAACGGATCATGCATTCTAATGTTATATCTCCTAAATCTATAGATGTTATTTTCACAAGAATTAGTTTTGACATCCAGAAAAAGCTAGCGGCACAACTTATTGTCTGTTTGTCTTCCATCAATATGTAATGAACTATATATATTTTGGTTAATAATAATAATAATAATAATAATAATAATAAATTAAATTAAATTTAACTAAAAAGGATAAAAACTCTAACCCGAAAATGTTGGTGTTATTGAGACGATGGACGCAAAGCAAGATATTGGTGAAGTCATGAGATTTCATACGAGATGCTAATCTACTAAAATTAAAGAAATTAAATATTCTTTTACCTTTTGTTCATATTTTTCTTCTTACCTATTTAAAATTTAAAATATGACAAATGTATAAATTTAACATTCCAATCAAATTTAATTTAAATTTAATAATATTTATAACCATCTAAAACAGATAATAGAAAATTAGAAACAAAATACAAAAAATATTTAATTTCTCCTAAAATTATATGGTCCTAAAGGGGGCGTCCTAGAAGTAGAAGCTATATGGGACGTCTATGACAACTTATTTTGCCTTTCTTCTTGCAAACTTCCACATCTTATTATTTTATCCACATCTTTCCCAATATGTTGCTTCATTTTTCATGCATTTTCAAGCATTTTCTCTAGTTTATATTCCTACAATGATCATCTAAAAAGAATCATATTAGACCCAATCCATATACAATTTAAACCATTTATTAATTGCGATATACACAAAAACAGGTGTAATCAACGGAGCGATACCAAAACACCCTCCAAACCCCCATTGGTTGAGTTGGTATATTAAACTTTTTAAATTATATAAAAAATATGTTGTGGAGTTGTCTTGTGAATGAAAATGATGGGAGGAATAATAAAAACACAGAAGAGGGGTTTTGGGAAGGTTTTGGTAATTTAGGGGAAGGAGACGAAGCCACGTGAATTTAATAGTGGGTAGTGTGGGGTAGTGTTTGCTTGTGAACAATTTGTTGGAGGTCGAAATAGACAACTTGTCTTTTTATGAGGGGTTGGTTTTCATGACGGGGTGTCATCTTTATCGGGTTGCCTATTGACGGATCTCTAACATCTCATCATTCATTTCCTATCATGATTTCGTTTTGTTACTTGCAAAATAAATAAATATGCATGTTAGAGCATATTCATGAAAAAGACAATAAATTTGATGATAATCTTGATTAGTGTCATAGATTTAGTTAATTATGAAAGGGGACAACAAATCCACATCAATTAAATCTTGGAGTATTTTGTTTTTGTTCTTTTTTGTTTATGATTTGTTGGAGTCATGTGAACTTTAGAATATTGAAGGCGATAATTGCTCTTAGTACGAAAATTGTATACATTAAAATACTTTTATTTTGTTAATAAGATTTGCAAAAGAAAAAAGATTATTTAGCTTTTTCAATCACGTTGCTTAATGTATATCATTATTTATTGTTTTATAACTTTAGATGATTAAGGTTAATGAGAATGATATCTACCATAACAAAGATCCTCCATCTCACTCCACATAAGTAGGGCCGGTCCGATACATGGGCGAGATAGGCTGAGGCTCAGGGCATCAAATCTGAGGGGGGCATCATCTGGTCTTGTATGTAATGATGTATATAACAGTTTGGTCCAAAAGATTTAGCCCGATTTTTTATTTTTGTTCTTCAACGCACTACAAGAAAAAAGGCATTTTACGACGCTCATTGCGCGTTGTAAAAGGCTCAGACGACGCGCAAATGCGCGTCAAGGAAGGCCCTGTCATAAAGAAAGACGACGCGTATTTACGACGCTCATTTACGACGCGCGTTTACGACACGCAATGCGTATCAAGGAAGGCCCTGTCATAAAGGAAGACGATACGCATTCACGTGTCGTAACCTTACGACGCGCGTGTTAATGACACGCAATGCGTATCAAGAAAGCCACTGTCAAGAAAGGCCATGTCATAAATGAAGATGACACATTTTTGCGTATCATAATTTTAAATGTTTAAAAAAAATATTATTTATAGATTTTTCTAATTTTCAAATTAAATAATACATTAAAAATCTCATAATACAAAATAAAATACCATAAATAACAAAGATAATTCATTTCACTAATATGTCAAATACAAATAACTATTCCAGTAGTGAGTAAATGTTATAAAAAAATGAACTCATTTATATACAATTGCATTATCTAGCTTCCTATGTGCCAAGAACTCTATGTACAAAATGTTATCTTTGGTATGCATGTCTAAATACCTACTAACTCCTCCTATTCAAAAGATAGCCACCAATTTTCTCAGCAAAGTGTTGAAAAGGTACCTGCAATACAAAATCATTAACAAACATAATATATTTTAATTTTTTATTGAAGTATATGAAAATTGAAGTAGTTAGTTTAGTTAGCTACCTCATTTTCCTGTTTGATATCATGTGTAAAGAATTGTTACATATACATCCTATACAGAGTAATAAAGTAGGAGGTTATTTCCTGTAGTTTACCCATAAAAGAAAGGAAAAAAAAACTTACAGGTTCTGTAATATAGACACGTGCCAGGTCCTTCAAAAGGTGAATTGAGAGAAACAAATACGTTTGCAGCATTCATGAGATTAATACTTAACCTCCTTCCCATAATTATTCTTTGCATTTCATTGTACAATCTGTTAATCAAATTTATATGTAAAAGGGTCATCATTTTGAACTCACGTTCCAACACCTTCTTTGAATAGATGACTATAATTTCTAGCCACAATTCAACTTATAAAAAGGAAAGAAAACAACAATCTAGCTTATAAAAGATTAATAAATAGAGGGCCTGAAATTGCTTAAAGCTCAACACCAGTAATCGCTAATCAATAAGATAATACTTTGTTTTTTTAACTTCTCCAACCATTGGTGGTTGTTGAGTTGACCCGACATCTTGTTGGAAAAATCAGGGCTTCCTTCAACTTCTCTCACTTTGTCCATAAGAAGGGATGATGGGCTTACTTCCTTCAAATCAACATTCAGATTCTTAAACAAAACCTGAAAGGCCACAATAACAATAGTGAATATAGTATATTATCGGAATTGATGTTATAAACTTTTTGATTATGATGTGTGTAATATGATGTGTGTGCAGAAGAGTAGGGATCTTGCTGGGTACCATAGTTTTCAGCATAAGTAACCTGAACAGGAAGGGTTTGTCCGCTTGCAGCCCCACCGTATGCATGGTACACATCCACCACACCATGTGTGGCTGCAACTGCAACTGGTTGTGCATACGAATCTTGACTGTTCACCATTGTCCTGCAACCTATATATATATATATATATATATATATATATATATATATATATATATATATATATATACAACTGCAACTGGTAACACTGTAACTCCTAGGCACCAAGAAGGGTATTTTTGGAAATTGTAAAAGATCAAAAAGGGTATTTCAGGAAAGTGAAAAACCCAAAAGGGTATGTCTGGAAATTGAGATACCTGAACAAGCTCTTCATTTTCAATAGCACACTTGCAAAAATTTTAAACTTTTAAAACCCATCTTAGAAGGACTAAAGGTTAGAAAGGAGAAGTAATGAAGCTATGAGTTGAGAAAAGAGTAATCACAGCAAGGTCTCTAAAACAGACCTGCTGTTCAAAACGGATTTACTCCAAAATCTAAAACAGAAACATAGCTTTAACTAAATTTTATAGAAAACTATGATTGTTCAGGATTCCA